GCGTGAGTGTGTCACTGCACTCCAGTCTGGGCGACAGAATGAGACTCCAACTCAAAAACAAACAAACAAACAAACAGAAATCGGGGCATGGAGACGCAACCTCTGACCTGAGGAGGTCCTGGCACATGGCAGGCACTCAGATGGTGGCACCTGTCATCTTTGTCATGTTGGTTTAACGGTGAGTGTGGCCATGGGTAGTTTGGGTTATGCAGTGATTGTGCCATGTCTCTTACTAAGTGACCTTCGATCAGTGATCACCTATTTGTATCTATTTCCTGTTTTTAAAGGAATTGTAGCCAAGCTCGGTGGCTCAGCCTATAATCCCGTGCCTTTGGGAGGCTGAGGTGAGTGGATTGCCTGAGCCTGCGGGTTTGAGACCCGCCTGGGCAGCAAGACCTCATCTCTACAATAAATCAAAAAATCAGCCGGGCATGGTAGCGCATGCCTGTAATTCTGGCTACTCGGAAGGCTGAGGCGGAAGGATCGGCGGAGCCCAGCAGGTCGAGGCTGCGGTGGCTGGAAGCGGCCACTGCACTCCAGTCTGGGCGACAGAGTGAGACTCCAACTCAAAAACAAAAAAAAGAAATTGTAAGGAAGCCTCATTTTCTCCTGAGTTGTCTCAGCTAGATATTGGTGGGAATAGAGGCAGGAGGTTTAGGCAGTGGAGGAAGGCATCTCCCCTTGAGAGTAGAGGTGAGGGCTGTGGGTGGGGGGAGGCTGTCCTTCCAAATTCTCGTATTCATCAGTGCTTATTCTATAGAAAGAATGTTTCCTTGTTTTGAGCTCTAGATCACCCTGTCTCTAATTAGCTCAGCAAATACCTACTAATGCTCCCTAGAATACTGCGAGCGGCCATTTACTGAGCATTTATAAGCACTTTCCACACCTCACCTCCTGCCTCAGCTCCCATGGGGAAAGGCTGCTCGTTGTACAGACAAGCAAGCGAAGCTGGGAGAAAGCCAATTGCTAGTCCATTCCTTCCACTGGCAAAGGTGAGAAGATCCAGACACTCTGGGGAAGGTGGAAAGACATGAAAAAGAACAAGAAACGGTCTCTAGTCTTAAAGATCTGACAATGAACATGCACCCTCAATGTCAGACAGGGCACTGAGAGACAGGTTGCGTTGGTATTTATTTGCAGAGTGCTGCCGTGGGAGGGTAGAGAACAGGATCACTAATCCTGTCAAGTGGGAGTCTTCCTGAGGGGTGACTGGGCCAAGTCTTTAAGGATGTGTTCATTTTGGCGGGAGGCAGGGGAGCATGGCCGACCTGGGTCTGAGTCGCAGGAGTCCTGAGGATCTGATCTTTGGGAGAAGAGACACAAGAGCTGGGACGGTTAGGCAGGGCCTCCGATTTAAAGAAGGGCAGAAGCCGGGTGTGGTGGCTCACACCTGTAATTCCAGCACTTTGGGAGGCCAAGGTGGGAGGATTGCTTGAGGTCAGGAGTTTGAGACCAGCCTGGACAACATAGTATGATGTTATCTCTACAAAAAAGTCAAGAAAGTTAGCTGGGCATGGTGGCATGCACCTGTAGTCTCAGCTACTAGGGAGGCTGAGGCAGAAGGATCAGCCCAGGAGGTCGAGGCTGTGGTAAACTGTGATTGTGCCACTGCACTCCAGCCAGGGATCAGAGTGAGACCCCCCGGCTCAAAAAAAAAAGTAAATAATAATAATAATAAAGAAAGGCAGAGAAGCCGAGGGCAGAGCCCATCTTATGGATTAACAAGGTCAGGCCACAGAAGGCCATTCTGAGGCTGCGAGGTCCCTGGGGCAGGCCAGAGTTCCCAGAGCTCCCAGTCTAAGTGCAGACAGCCTGACTCCAGTGTATGTCTCAGGTGGGATGCTGACCCCTGTTTCCATCAGAGCTAGGAGAGTGAGGGAGTTGCAGCCCAGAGGTGGGGACTCCCCAGAAAGACCTACTGTGGGGACGAGGCAGCCCGAACCCCGGACAGCCAGCCCAGAGACAGCAAAGACCAGGTGTGGTGGGGAAGGTGGAGTGCTCCGTTTTCACAGAAATCGGACAGAGCGGGAAAACAGCCAGTGAAGGGCTTCCACCACCAGATATAGAAGCTTGGACAGAAGAGGACGATTGCCTTTTGAGCCCCAGACAGAAATGATGTGATCAAACCTACCTGTGCTCACTAGAATGTGAACTTCCCAAGGCCTGGAGTTTCTCTCTTTCATTTCACCTGGGTATTCCCAGCTCTTAGCGCAGTGTCAAATGCTCAGGAGGCATTAGATTATATCTGTTTAACAACTATGTAGTGCCACAGTATATACAATGTTTATGGATAAATATGTATGTAGTAAACATTTGTAAACTTTGATGAGAATACACACTAATGGTCAAAGTAGTGGTTACCTTGGGTTTGAAATAGAATCCATGGCCAGGCACAGTGGCTGACACCTGTAATCCCAGCACTTTGGGAGGCCAAGGTGGGAGGACCACTTGAGTCCAGCAGTTTGAGACCAGCCTGGGTAACACAGCAAGACCTCATCTCTACAAAAAAATCAGAAAATTAGCCAGGCATGGTGGCACACACCTGCAGTCCCAGCTACTTGGGAGGCTGAGGCAGAAGGATTTCCTGAACCCAGGAGGTTGAGGCTGTGGTGAACCATGATCATGCCACTGTACTCCAGCCTGGACGAGAGTGAGACTGCAATTCAAAAAAAAAGAGAGAGAAAGAGATAGAATGCAAAAGGGACTTCAGGTGTGTTTGAATTTTTTTCTTATAAAGAAGAACTGAAGAAAATATGACAGGAAACATTTGCTAAATCTGAGTGGTAGGTATATGGGCTCCTGTTATATCAGGCTTCAGAATTTTAAAAACATTTCTAACTTTTTTTTTTTTTTTTTTAGTTGGAGACTCACTCTGACGCCCAGGTCGGAAGGCAGTGGCACACTCACGGCCACCCCAGCGTCGACCTGTTGGGCTCTGGTGATCCTTTCACCTCAGCCTTCTAAGTAACCGGAACTATAGGTGCGCACTACCACGCCTGGGTAATTTTTTATTTATTGTAAAGATGAGGTCTTGCCAAGTTGCCCTGGCTGGTCTCAAATCCCTGAGTTTAGGCAACCCTCTTGCCTCAGCCTCCCAAAGTGCTAGGATTACAGGCTGAACCACTGAGCCCGGCCTATTTCTAACTTTGAAAAGAAAGTAAGCTGGGCTCGATGGCTCAGCCTGTAATCCCACGCTTTGGGAGAATGAGGTGAGTGGATTGCCTGAGCCCATGGGTTCGAGACCTTCCTGGGCAACTTGGCGAGACCTCGTCTCTACAATAAATCAAAAATTAGCCGGGCGTGGTAGTGCGCGCCTGTAGTTCCAGCTACTTGGAAGGCTGAGGCAGAAGGATTGCCGGAGCCCAGCAGGTCAAGGCTGCGGTGGCTGGGAGCGGCCACTGCACTCCAGTCTGGGCAACAGAGTGAGACTCCAACTCAAAAAAAAAAAGAAAAAAAAGTAAACGTATGCACAAATATATGTATTTAATGTATAGACTGTTTCTGCTACAGCAGGTGGCTGCACTGAGGATTTACAGTTTCTTGGGATTACACGTAGGCCTAGATTATTCTCTTGATGTTGACCCTCCACAGGACTGCAAATTGGCAGCAGCTATAGTCAAAGTGCCACCCTGAAACAGTAATGCAAAACCTAGCTCATTTCCCTCCTTGATCCTTATGGTTCAGAGCAATTATTTATAATATCATTGGGCTTAGAATATAATTTTTGGTGGAGGATATCTACTTGCCTTTCTGGTGACGTGATGTGTCACATTATAGGATTATGAGTTTTGGTTCCTAATGGTGTCGGGGTAAAAGATCCATTGTGCACTCAGAGAGTGTTTGAGTGCCAGCTCCACCTCTTCCTGGCTGTATGACTTCCATCAAATCACTCAATCACTCAGCTTGCTCAGTTGCAAGATGTAGATGGCAGGCCAGATGTGGGGGCTCACGCCTGTTATTCCAGCACTTTGGGAGCCAAGGTGGGAGGATCGCTTGAGCCCAGGAGTTGGAGACCAATCTGGGCAACATAGTGAGACCTCATCTCTACAAAAAAAATAAAAAAATAAACCAGGCATGGTGGCACACGCCTCCAGTCCCAGCTACTTGGGAGGCTGAGGCGGGAGGAACGCTTGAGCCCAGGGTTTGAGGCTGTGGTGAGCTGTGATTGTGCCAAAGCACTCTAGTCTGGGCAACAGAGTGAGATCCCAACTAAAAAAAAAAAAAAAGTGCAGATGGCAACCACTTTTCATGACTGAGAGGATTAAACAAGATGACATGTCTTGTGAAGGCTCCAGAGACAGAGCTGGCTTGCGGACGCCCCACTTGCATTAACTCTCTTCGCAGCGAGGGCTTTGTGCACCCTGGCCTTGGTTCTCTCTCCTCTCACCGCCCCCTCCAGGCCCATCCTCCACGGTCTATTCAAATGTATCTCTTCCATGAAATTGCTCTTCATATCACAATGGCTCATGTCACTGCTTCATAATCACAGTTAATTTTTTCATCTTTTACTTTTTTGCCTCCTTAGGCAAAAAAAAAAAAACTTTTGATGGCAGGGACATCATTTTCAGGCATCATGGCAGAATGGAGAAATGCCCACTAGATTGGGAAGTTACATTCTGGATTAAATTCTATTAGATAAACTTGGGGCTCCATGTAGCTTTGGGACCTTTGAGATCATCAGCAAAATGGCAACAATAACTCACTTCACATGGTTTCTGGAAGGTTGGTCGAGACATTTTGTGTGAAACACAGGAGTTGAATAAATACTGTTGAATGAATTTAAGCTGCTTTGAAGAACAAAGTGTCTTACAAATGTCAGGCATTATTTTTGCTTTCTCTCCAGTAGGTAATAATGGACCTTGCCTTTGTTTGCTGCCAAGAGGAACTGCATGCGAGAATATTCCACAGTCATCCAGATAAAGACTCAGGAGGCCTCGTGCAGGGAGAATAAGGCCGATTCAAGTTTAACCAACATGTTCTCTTCATTCTCACCAGGGTCAAGATGACCACAGCCACCCCTGTGGGGGACACCACTTTCTTCTTGAACATGACCACCAGGGGAGAAGACTTTCTGTATAAGAGTAAGGTCAACTTGGCTTGGAGGCCGGGGGAGGGGTGACAGGATGAGGGTCATGGTTAGCTCCTAGGGCAGAGGTCAAGAGCTTGGGCTTTGGAGATGGAGTGCCTGGGTCTCAGGCTCAGTTCTACCTCCTGCCAACTGTGTGACTGTGAGCACATGACCCTCTGCTCTATGCCTCGGTTTCCTCATCTCTAAGATGGGGATATTAATAGAGCTGCCACATAAGGTAATGAGGAGATGATAATCCGTGTGGCAAGATTAGCGTGGCCTCTGGTGCATGCTGATATCTACTGGGTATTGTATTACTGTTCATTGCTACTGCTACTGTTGCTATTACTGTTTTTTTTGTGTTTTTTTTTTTTTTGAGTTGGAGTCTCACTCTGTCGCCCAGACTGGAGTGCAGTGGCCGCTCCCGGCCACCGCAGCCTCGACCTGCTGGGCTCCGGCGATCCTTCCGCCTCAGCCTTCCGAGTAGCCGGAATTCCAGGCACGTGCTACCATGCCCGCCTGATTTTTTGATTTATTGTAGAGATGAGGTCTCGCCAAGTTGCCTAGGCGGGTCTTGAACCCGCGGGCTCAGGCAATCCACTCACCTCAGCCTCCCAAATGCGTGGGATTACAGGCTGAGCCACCAAGTCCGGCTACTGTTTTTTTTTTTATTAGCGTCTTAGAGTCTAGAGAGCAATGGAAATTTGAATTTCATGTAAGATGTTTCTCAATGGGTCACCTTAAAATATAGCTACTTTCACACGGTTTTTACAAGGCAAAAACATCCCATCAACTTACGAATGTAGGTGAGAAGAGTTAGTCCTAAGGAGACATTTGCCAGGAACAAGGGGTCCTCAGAAGAAAACATTTGAAGACAGCTCTTCAGAAAACCAAGTGATGGTATAAGGAGAAGTCTGGGTCCTCATCAGCCATTTCAGTTGGCTACACATATACCTCTCAGCATGGGTCAGACAACCCACACACAGGGGGAGTTTCCCACGATGATAAACAGCTTCAGACTGTGGTGCCAGCAGATGGCTAGGTTAATGGCGGTATGTATCTCTTCCGTGGAGATTCGGAAGGGATCACTGTCAGGGCAGGGTCCCATGGGCGATCTGCTCCTTACTGGGTGGGCAGACCTCCTGAGGCCTGCTGAGGCACGTCAAAGAGTTCTGAGGGGAAGTGCAGGGCAGAGGGAATCATCGTCAGCGAGATGAGAATAATTCGGTTTTTATTTAACAAAAAGTAGTAGTTCTCAGGTTATTTCGCCCTCCTAGATAGCGTTACCAGATTTAGCAAATAATAATACAGGACATGGGCAACCCCTTTGGGTTCCCTCCCACTGTGAGAGCTTTTCTGTCCTCTCAATAAATCTTGCTTTCTCACTTAAAAAAAAAATATAGGACACCCAGTTAAATTTGAATTTAAGATAAACAACAAATAATTTTGTAGTATAAATATGTGTCATGCAATATTTAAGATGTACTTACACCACAAAATCATTGTTAGAAATTCTGACTGAAGTGGGTATCTTGTGTGTTATCTCGTGACCTGTCCCCCCAGGAATCATGTGGCAATGTCTGGTGGTAATCTGGCTGTCACAACTAGGAGGGGGAGATGGGAAGATTGAAACTGGCATGTAGTAGGTAGAGGCCAGGGATAAAGCTAAATAAATACCTTACAATGCACAGAACAGGTCCCTACAGCAAAGAATTATCCAGTGGAAGTTGAAAAATCCTGAACTAAAGTCTTATCACTGGACACCCCAGAAAGAAAAAAAAAGTTACTCCATGATGGATTCCCTGCCCTCTCCTTTTTTTTCCTTCCAGTCTTTCTTCATATGAATATTTGCACATAGTTTGTTTATTTATTTATTTATTTATTTTTTTGAGTTGGAGTCTCACTCTGTCGCCCAGACTGGAGTGAAGTGGCCGCTC